AAAGAAATATAAGAAATATGAATCTATAGAAACAAACCCAAAGAATACAGTCTGAGGTGTATGTACAGCTCGCAGTAACGGACCCGTATAGAAGAAGATGATAGCCGTTTATTGTTTATTTAGGTCTCAATAGAGTCTATATAAGAAAACAGCTGCGAAATAAAAAAGAAAAAGAAAAGAAATACAACAAAAAAAGACAGAGACGGAGCCCCTTGCCTCTGTACTGTAGCGACGGGAACCCGGGATAGTAAACAAAGAAAAAGAAGAAATGAATAGACAAAGGTTTATTTATTTCTTTTTAAAGTATGAAAAACTTTATATTTTAGGTGTATATACACCCCAAAAGTAAACCAACAAAAAATGAACCAATGGACAACAGCCTCGCTTACTGCTGCTGATTCTCTGCTGTCCGTTGCTGCTGCTGCTGCTGCTGCTGCTGCTGCTGCTGTTGCTGCTGCTGCTGTGCGGCAATCAAGCTTTATTCGACTCGAAATATCCTGTATTTATCTTTTTTAAATAAAAAGATAATTAAAAAACAGAATAAAACACCAGAAATGAAGAAACAGGCTGCATAGTCAACGACAAAGAACCTCCTATATATAGCAGAGGCTCTGGTGTATGGCGGCGTCGCCCTGGTGAGGGTGGCTGTGCTTGCGGTTAATATATATAATAATATATAAATTTAGAGTAAATTAAAGAAAAATTTATTAAATAAATTAAAAAAAAAACAAACACAATCACCACACCTCTTCTCTTGATGAGCAGATGAGGACTCCTCTCCTCTGCGGGGGGTAGAGAGAGTAGGCAGGAGGCAGCACCACCAGCAGCAACGATGCAGCAGCAGCGCAGCAGCAGCACCAAAACCCTTTTAAAACAGACAAAGAAAAACTTATTTTTGTGTGCAATATTAATTAAAAAGCAGCAAAAAGTCCAGTTTACTTTTATATCTCTGTTTTGTTGCTGCTGCTCTAGCACCTAGCATCGAAGGAGAAGAAGCGCACGCGTGAGGCTGCCGGTCTGGCGCTGCTGCAGCAGAAAAAAAGGGTTTATATCTGTACAAAACCACGTGAATATATAATTTATTTTATAATTTATTCAAGTTAAGAAACAAAAAGAAAACGAAATAAAAACATGNACGTGAATATATAATTTATTTTATAATTTATTCAAGTTAAGAAACAAAAAGAAAACGAAATAAAAACACGCAGAGAGAGAGACAAACGAGAAACCCCCATCATCTGTGCAGAGCGTCTGCGGTGATCCGCCGTCGATGCTTCCTGATCAGCAGCAGCAGAGCGAAGCAAACAAACAGCCATTTGTGTGCATATTTTATTTTATTTAAATATATTTTAGTTAATTATTATTTCAAATAAACACAGTTTTCACCCATAGATAGCCAAAAAATATACTGAACGTTCTTGTCTTGCTTCTAGATACCGCAGAGCTCATACGCGTCGTTCTATTCAGCTGTTCAACTTGTTTCATCTCTGCCGTGTTTTTGTTTGCTTTCTCTCTTTTATTTCATCGACGCGAAAAGAAAAAAGCGAAACACACAAAAAAAATTATTTTTATTTTTTCTTTAGGCGTATACGAACGCCAGGTGTGCCTTTGTGTGGGCTGCGGTGTCTGTAGCGTCGTTTCATTTCATTTGTTGCAAAAAAAAAAAAAAATAAATAAAATATTTCAGTTGAACTTGAAAAATATATTTCATTTCTAGAAGTTTAAAACCATAAGAATATGCGAAATTCATGTATGTCTGCTGGGTAGTGAGAGCAACGGTCTGTATGGTGTTAGCTACTACTACTGCTGCTGTGCTTATAGGACCTAAACAACTCCTGTCTCTTGTTTTTCTTTTCTTTTTTTGTACGTGATAGTTAAATAATAAATTATTCTTCTTGCTTATGAAAAAAAAAAGCGCTGATGCTTGCATTTCACTGGGTTTCACTGCGGTGCGTGTACTATGCTGGTGTCTACGCGCCTACTCCTTTATATCTATCAAAGAGGAATCAGCTGCTACGCTCCTGCAGCGCGAAGAAAACTGCAACGAAAGTATTAAATACTTTTGTTTCAGAATATTTGAATTGTTCTATAGAGAACAATATCGCCATATTCTCTGCTGAGACCAGTGGACCACCTGGCGTCAGCTGCTATTCATACTGACCTGCTTTGCCCCTTAGAACATTTTACTTTACCTTACCTTACCATGCGTTGCTACCTAGCTATCTCTAGTCAGAAATAAGGAATTATTGAGCGACAATATGCTGGTATTCTGCAGCGTAGACTGTCTGTCTATGTACGTAAACTTAGATGCGTTCCTCGCCACACAAACCCTAAAAGATTCATTTCTTGAGCTTATGCTGCACCAAAAAAGTGGGTGTTTAGGTTGGACTGCGTATATATGTCATATAAATACTATATATATATATATATATATATATATATATATATGTATATATATATATGTGCATATATATACTAATTAGCGTTCACGGGCTAACTGGGTTCTTTTCAAAGCAATGCAGAGGAGGTTCTCAGTAGCTCTAACATTCATGTTTTCATGCTGCAGGTGAAAATATGCAGCATAC